TTCATAAAAAAAATATATTGTACTGTTACTAGCATGTACATGCATAGTATAAGCACCATTAGGTGATAAATATTAAATTTAAGAATCATAAATACACTCTGTAATTCTTTTTTTAAAAAAATGGACCCACTGTACAACTGTCATTTATACAACTTATACAATCTATTCTGTACTGAGTACATGTACGTGTCAATAGCCAAGGGTCAATCAAATAAAGGAGAAGTAATTCAAGAATTTCAATTTCTTTCCACTGCATGATAACAGCCCCGTAAATGGCAAAATGTCATCCAGTTTGTGCAGCACAATATTCTTCAACTTTTATGTACACTGTACTTCATACTTGTGCTTCATACTAATGTTTGGTGGAATACAATGTACAGTACATACTGTTATGATATCATTGTGTTATTTTTTGCCTCGTATACGTCACGTGACACAATCCTTTGTAACCCAGACCTCGTGGTCAGGTGTGCGCTTTTGGACAATCCGAGATTAAAAGCTTGTTGATGTTTGAGCTTGTTTGTTGTCCTTCGTCCATCATAACACATACATGGTGTATGTAGTAATAATTAATTATAATAATACCCTTCAAGTCACAGTATTTACATACAAATTCTCCAGTTCTCCGTGCATGTACATTTTCTTTAAGCATAGAGAGACTGTGGTATTAAGAAGATCAAAGTATTTTCCCTTTGGTGATTTTTATTAATGTCGTTACTTCTGTCGCCATAACCTTTTCTCTTGGTGATTGTAATTGGTGTTGTCTATAAGGAAAAAATTGACATTGGTCAATCTTTTGACTTACAGCAAGCTTCCATGTATCTTCAACGTTCTTATAGTAAAATGTTGGCATAATTAGTTGTATAATTACCTTATAGGTATACTTGGAACACCTGAAGTTCAAAGGATCATCAACTATTTCCAAGTTCTTGTAGAAAATGGTATTGGATAATCACTAATTTACAGTCTTCTTACACTTTATACATGCACCAATATAAATTGTTTACTTAATCAGAATGCTTTTTAAGGTGGTGCTCATTAAAAATATGCTAAAAAGAGTAAAACCTGTCAAGCTTCCATCACAAGCATTGCATTATTAACTATAGTTTTATGGGCAAAATTTTTGTTTGCATTCTTAATAATTACTTATTAATCTGGAATTATATTTGACCCTTCCATTTTGTTTTTTTTTCTTGTTTCTTGTCTTATGCAAATTTTGTTTTTATAATTTTCACAACTCTTATTTGTTAATGCTTTTAGGTGCCTTTGACTGTTTTAAGCGAGATCAGCGTCGTCTTCTTCAACACATGCATGCCAACTGCTATGATGCGCATTTCCAGGATTTGATCCTCGCTATTCAGCTGGAGGTACCCATTACTGACCGTTTGTTGATAAAAGTGTTGACCCAAAAAATGACCTTTACAGATTACATTTCTATCTGTAAACTATTGACAAACTTCTCTGTTACATCAATAGTGATGGTTATTCAGGTTTTTTAAAAAACCTTTGATGTGACAAATCATGAGCTTTTCCTCAAGAAAGCAATAAATTTATGGAACAGTAGAATGGTTTAGGTCACATCTTACGGGCAGGAATAATATGTTTGTGTAAATGGCTATTGCTCCTACAGTCAACAGCCACTACAGGGAGTTCCTCAAGGATCCCTCCTGGAGCCTATTCTTTTCCTTAATTTTGTAAACGACATATCTTTGAGTCTGCGTGACCCTACACTTGGCTTTAGTAATATTGTTTTTGTTTAAATGTTTGTTTGTTTTCTTTTTACACAGGAAAGCCTTTTGTTGTACCAAATGGGAAATCTTGAAGGGTGTAAGCAATTGAGCGAAGATGTGTGTAACCAAGCAGTAAAGTTCAACTCACCCAACTACAATGTCATTGCTGGAAAGGCCAAAAGTGTTTTGTCCGGTGCTTACAAACAGGAAAGGAGGTTTACTAAGGCTGAAGAAGTTTTGGAGACCTCTACAGAGGTTGGCAACTAAACACCTCTATTGCACCATGTTAGAAGAGAATTCTTGGATTCTGGATTGCATTCTGCTGGTTCTGGATTCCAGGGACTGCATTCCAGTCTGTCTGTGGAACTAGGATTCTGGATTCCAATGTTTAGTGGGATTCCAGATTCCTTGAGCTGTATTCCAGATTCCAACACCAAAAATTCCAAATTCCACAAGTGGAATTTTCCCGGTTGTAGGATCTGGATTCTATTACATGGGGCGACTTCCGAGTAACATTATGAATGGTTATTCTGTTGAAAAGTAACGATCTGAAAATTAATTTGAAAATGTGTTCTTTTGCAGCTGTTAGAGGCAGTTGTTCCCGGAGAAGAGACTGCTGTTAACCGCACGTGTGTCGCTGCCCTGTTCTCTGAGAAAGCTGCTGTTGTGGGAATCACCAAATTGGAGGAAAAGAAAATGAAGAAAGCCATGAAAGCTGCTTTAATCCATTATGGGCACCAACGTGATCGAGGTCTGAACACGAATGCGCGTGGTCCAAGGCGATCATTAATCAGATCAATTTTCTATTACCTTCATTCTACTAGAGGAAGGGCCACTAATCTGCAGATCCCGGTATCTGATAAAGTCATGTCAGCGGTGGAAACCTTCATTCGAAATTTCAGCAGAGATTTTCTTAATGACTGCCCCATGAGAGACAAGGCACTGTTTTACAATGCACTGGGAGACTTGCATGCACAAAAAGGAGAGTATGAGCAAGGTGAGTCACTACTGTTACAGTTAGTTGTCACAATCTACTTACAAAGTGAATAGAATCCGTTACTGGACTTTTTGCATCCCTTTTACCGGCAGTGGAACTAAGACAAGTGAAATTGTTGTGTTCTTTATGTTTTTATGTTTTTTTTAATCAATCGATTCAAGATACTAAGGTTTTCGTTATACCGCAGTTCTGTTCCATATATGTTTGTTTTAACTTTGATCAGGCTGGAGAATACCGTTTGTATACCGTGTACAGCTTACTTCCCTAAAAACTAAGGGTTTCTTTGTATTGAAGTCGCACTGTAACTAAAATGTACACTGTATTAACTATTCGATCAGGATTGAAGCAGATTCTTTACATACATACATACATACATACATACATACATACATACATACATACATACATACATACATACATACATACTAACTTTATTCAAGATGTAAACAAGTTTATTTACAGGAAAAGCATAATATTAAAAGACATCTTGAAAAGGAACTTGAGAGGTTAGCCCTATATGAGAACTCCCAAACAGAAATAGAAAATGCTAAATAAAAACATCAAATACAATACAAGTATTCAAAAATCAAGGCCTTAATTAAAGCACAGTTCTAGTTTAAAATTTATTAAATAGATAATGATGAAGCTTATTTTTAAAATGATGAGGGCTTTCAGCCTCTACTGTTCTTTGATTGTCTCTTACCTCTAACAACTGATTCTTGTTGTTTATATGTGAATGCCATTTTTATTCAATAGGGATCAGAGTTGTAAGCAATGCATTCAGAATTGCGCGGGAACTTCGGCTGAGGGAAGATTTTAGTGGCTCACGTGATCGACTGAGGCAGCTGTGTTTTTTGAGTGGACGGATGTCTTTTGAAGTTCCTGTGGGAAGAATGGCGGGAAACCAGCCTTTCCAAGAACCGCGATATGAAATACTGGAAAGATATCTTGACGAACTAAGACAAGTTTAAAGATCAAGGTAGTGATAGAAGGAATGGCCTTACTTACCACTCTTAACCATGTCTCTCTAAAACAGACACCTGTTGGATCGAAAGTACGTTTCAGTAGGGAGTTTAAGGTATCGCGATAGCGAAGGCAACTCTGTAGGCGCATCACACCTTTTGATCCAGTACTGACATTTCTTTGCCTACAACTTGAAAGTTCCAAATGCGATGCTTTATGGAGAACGTGAACACATGACAATTCTTTTTTCTCTTCCTTAATTTGGATACAGTCCTTAAGATTTCGTGTTTTGTAAAACTCTGGCCTTACATTTGGGAAATTGCGTGAATTAAAAATTGCGAAATTTGAAGGAATACGAATTCAGTTATAAATATTTGCTACAGCCGCCGTCGTGGTGCCTTAAATTCTCTAGTCTAAGAGAGGTGACCTCTTCATAGTGAGTGTATAATATAAAATGGATGAAAAGCGGCAGGGACTAACCCTAGGTGTTCTTGTTATGGAGTTTACTATTGTATCGGGTGTTGTTTGTTTAGAAATAGGTGACTGATGTTGCTTTCCTGCTATGTCAGAGCTACGTCCTTGTTACTTTGCTCCTTGTTATTTAGGCCACTTATTTTCTTCTAGAAGGAAAGTACAGTTGTAAAACAGAGTACTTGCCTCTTTTTAAATTGCGTGCATGCTTCAAACGGTAACTTTTGTTTGTAGTTGTTTTATGTTTTTTTATGTATATTTTTTGTTTCAAATCAGAGAGCGAGTGAGAGGATTATAGCCTATGAACACTGAAGGTGAAAACGAAGTGGCTTTAAGAGAGCGTATATCGTAAATCTTGTAGACTTTTGTGGACAAAGAAGATAAGCTAGCAAATTAAAGACATTCATTTGCACATCACAACTCTTTCGCTCCAAACTATGCAAAATGAAAATTAGATAAAGTAATGAATAAACAAACAGTTTAGTTATGTCGGAGACGTTTTCTGTACTTGAATGGTTATTCCAAGATTCTGTCGATGACTCTAAAGATTGGAGAAACATTCACATTTCCATAGCTAATTAATGTATCATCTCTTCATAGCAGCTCGATTTTTGAAACTGCCATGTTTATGGGATCTTAAAGTTTCCTCAAAATTTCGGCTAAGAAAGGTCAAGAAAGGGGACAAGAAATGACAATGTTATAAATACCGTATGGCGCTTTTAGTTTTAAGAGACGGACGTTGTTACCATTGAATATATCACCGTCCAGAAAGTCTGTAAAACAATAGTTCTCATCTTTTTGCGGATATAATTATTTGAAGTCGTACATATTTTAATGTACCGTTACTACTTATTATAAGTCTTTTAACTAGGATCGTATACGTACAAGAAACTATTCATTCGCATGTGCATCAATTAGAAGGTGTGCTTTCAATTAAACTTTGTTGTAAAATGTACACTTCAAGGCCACACTCACCATTAAGGAACTCATTTTTCTCTGTAACCTTCTAATACCATTTTGTGGCATTGACAAATGCAAAGTTACGAACGCACGATGAATTTACTACTACCAATGAGACCTTGTGGTCTTGCCGTGTAGGCCTAAGACCTTAAAATGCAACAATGTTTATTGAAGTACCTTTATATGATGTATTCGTGCATGTTATCGCTACCTAGTAGCCCCATTTTTATGCAAAGATCGTTTTGAAAAAAAACCCTCAAATTGATGAGAAGACGAAGGATCTGCGTCGTGAGAATTTAATTATTCGGGTTAAATCATTGTCATAGGTCTTTACAGGGTTTTTTATGTTCGCAATACGAACTAAACTTCCAACTCTTGGGACCCTGTGCATCTCGTAACAATGATATTACTACTACTGTTCCTTTTTTTTTGTTCTTGTTTTTTTTTTTTTTTCTTTTTAACCGTTTTTTTTTTTTTAATTTTTTCACATTTTTATTTTTTTTTTTTCTTCGTTTACTTTTTCTTAAAAATTATTTCACCAGGTTAAAGTAGATAACAATGTTTTTTTACATTATTTAATTATACCAAACCATTTCAATGCTTAAA